TGTCAAATCTAACTTTTGAACATCGTACAAGATACTATGAATACGTTGAAGTGTGGTGTTTGAACAAGGGGGGCTTCTGATGGCTGACGGCATGAAGGTGAGATTCAAATTGAAAATGCAAACTGTTTGGGACGGCTGCATCAGATTTTACGACATCAAAGAGTCACGTGTGCATGACGCTATACGGGAATATAATTGAAGAGATGTTGATTCTCGGTTTCTGAAACTCTCGAAAAAAAAGCAATGTCTCCCATGGAATGCAGGTTATTACTGACAACGATCATTGTGCATCATGTAATAATGGGCATCAGAATTTAAATCTGGCATTTGCATCTCTAAACAACGCTGTATGCGTGGTTGACTGTGAATTTCAAAAGCAGATGAAAACTTTACTCGAGCAATACAGATACCTCTTTGCTGACTAAAGTGTGTGAATTGAGATGCTGCATATTTTAAATACCTGATTCCTCTTTGCTGACTAAAGTGTGTGAATTGAGATGGTGCCTATATTCAAAATTATGCTCTATGGATATAACGTTTACTGTAGAGAATAACATTTTTACATTTCATTTGAATCAGCAGGGCACAGGTAAAAGATGCAGAGATAATCACCTATGATCAGGGAGAGATAGGTTGGCCTTTGCAGACGTATCTTTTTCTTTCTAGGATATTTTTTGCGAGAATGCATTCGACTATAAATATTAAACCATTTCAGAAGTCCTGTTTTATTAGACTCAGCAAACATCTTAAATTATAGTTTGGAATGTTTAATGGATCGAGCTGCATTGTGAGGGCAGTTATAATTGCCATCAACTTGTTACGGTCAACTGTATCACGTGGCCAACGTACACTGCAATTATGGGTTTGTTTTAGGTGAGATCGCGTAAATATAAACGTGTCGCTCACCCACCACCACCCGACACAGCCAATTAGTAAGGTTTGTCACGTAAACAAAACGTGCCAATTAGTTACTACTTCAGCACACCGGTGTGTTGAGGAGTAAACCCACACATCATTTACGATTTGAATACTGTGACGTTTCGCTGGTGATTACAACAGTCAGCTTCATCAGGCGATTTGCCAGAATTGTGAAAAAGTCTTCTTGGTGCGGTCTTAAATAGAGCAATGGTGATGTCATCACCGTGAGCCGGTCAGGTGCGACGACCAGAGGGGGGTTAATGTGGTAATATAAATTACAGTGGATCATGTTAATTTTAGAATATGGAGTTATCGGATGGGTTAGACACAGTAAATCGACATACATTGGAATTGTTTTCCTGTTGCTTAGTTTGTTGTCCTTAGTTTGTTGTGAAAGCCTCCGTGTTCAACTGACTCTGGTCTCTTACGCTGGCTTTGTATCCTCTCTTTTCTGATAGATATTTTTCTTTTCTCTCTCTCTATAAAAGTTCACATTTGCGTGGAACCAAATTCTCACCTGCTCTAACAAGTTTGTTTTTTTTGCCGTGGAACACGCGGCAATCAAATTTGCACGCAACTTGACGTCACTACTCGTGTGGGCAAATTTCTGCTGCACCCTGCGATGCAGCAAAAAAAAGTTGCATGTTGTGCATGTTCCTACTGTGTGTTGTGAATACCCTCCATTATTTTGGGGATTTGTAAGAGCAAGGACTATAAGTGGAACAAAGCAGAAGGCTTGACTTTGCATGACAGCTGCAAGGCGATGGTGCATCTGGAGGGAGCAGGGGCGCCGTAGTGGCGAGATGTTAACGCCCTCGCCTGGTATACAGCAGGACAGGAGTTCGAAACTGACCCTGACGCCTGTATATTTGGAGTTTGCATGTTCCCTGTGGTTGTGTGTTTTTTTTTTTCCGGGTCCTCTGGTTTTTCCCTCCACAATTTAAAAATATGCGTTTAGAGTGTTTGGCTGCTGTAAATATCCACGTGATAAGCCACTTCGTTGTGCTATCATTTCTGGTCAGGTCGCTTCTGAATAAGGGCTATATAGCTCAGTGGGCCTTGCTTGGTAAAAATAAAACATTTTAGTTTTGTAAGTACAATAAGAAGCCTGCTTTTGTAGCATTTTGAATGTTCATCCCACATATGCATGGATATTTTGAATGGCATGCAGTATTCCTTTCAATGCCAAAATGCTCCAAAAGGCGTTCACTAGACTCACAATACATCCATTGAATTGTGCTTAATAGTTTATTTTGGGTTAGATCGCAGGTCGGCAAACAAAATAACAAGAGCCATTTTTTTTCAATATTTCAAGAGTTGCAATGCAACTTAGTGAATAACGGTCACGAATCAGTTCCTTAAAGAGCCGCAAGGTTTCCGACCCCTGGGTGAGATCGTCGTGTAGGTAAAATGTCGTTTGGTTTTACCATAACCATCCACCGTCTGACAGGGCCAATCAAATCTTGACGTCACTACCGTGGGACAAATGTATCAATTGCATCCGATGATTTGGTTTTTGAGCAAACTGGAGGAATGTTGAAGAGCCCAAGCACAACGTTGCCAGTTTCGTGGTACGATGCTTTGCTGGAGATGGCATCCAGCGTCATCGCGTGTTCGCAAAAGCTCGGCTCTCTCCGCGCGCATTGTGCATTTATGAATCTATGAGTGATGTAAATAGTATGCAAATGATATGCTAAATATACGTTTAGGCTAATTTGCTGTCAGTGTACAACAAAATAAAACGTGTATCAGTACAGACGATAAAAACAAGACAAAACCAGGCAGGCAAAATTTATTTTTTTTAATTAAAAGGTTGGCAGATGGTTGAATCACTGGTGGGAACACGGTGGGGGTATGATTACTTGCCCACTATTCAACTCGCAGTTCAAGAGTGAATATCCTGAAATAAATATTGAAGACTCAATTATAATTTCCCCAGCAGATAATTTAGTATCTTTAATTTTACTTCCACGTTTAAAATGTAGGTAATATCAATTTAGACCTTATTTATATTGCATTATACATCAGTATACAAAGGTTACTATTTACACCATACTAAACAACGTGAATGTGTATCATTGTTAATTTTTATCTATGTTTAAAAGAAAGTACCTGGAATATTTACATCGATATTTTATGTTTGAAGCTAATTCCCACAGCCGTGAGCCAAGTAGCTCGATGTTACCCTATTGGCTGACAGTGGTCAAACACATCGTTATTTCTCTGCTTTGTTATACCTGTATTGCTTTTCCATGGCATGCAGTAAGCGTGAGGCCTATGGACCGTGGCGTATAATTCCAAAACCAAAATACATCATCACACAGGTGTCACGTAACCATGTTACCTGTGCACTCCATCACCCGATTTAAATGATGGGACATTCCCTCATAAATTACACACAAATGTATAGAAAGTGAGCAGGCTGCATGCACTATTGGAATCAGAATACTTGTTTATAATGGAGAACTGGGAAAGCTGAACACAAGTGACATTTTTCGATTTAAAGCTTTCGTGACCAGGGATTCAAATTCTTGGTTCTTTCGCTAAAGTCACGTAGAAGGGAAATAATAAAATAATAAAAATAAAACAATAAAATTCTCACGACGTTTCGATTGCAACACTAGCAATCATCATCAGGTGTGCAAACCACAGTTGGGGTTTCACACCTTTGACTTTACCGAAAGAACCAAGAATACAAGTGACATTTTTTGGTTTTGACGGTGAAAAAGTGCAAATTGCAAAAAGCATCGCTTGCTGCCACCACGTTTACAAAAACATGGTCTTTATATTTGTATTGCAATAAGACAGTAAATTTTGCACTTTCAAAAATTGGCCCATGCCCTAATGCAATTGAGCGGGATGCGCTATTTTATTCTCATGCCAAATCGTCAACGATTGTAGAGAGTCGGAGCCTTTGAATTGTATCGGCACGAATGCGCACAGTGCATTATGGTTTTACTTGGTGCAGTTTTACTGAGCCCGAACCATAATGCACTGGCTTCATTTTTAATGAGTCAGAGAGTGTACATATAACAGGTAAATTGCCATTTTTGTTTGCATAACTGTGTTTAATGTTTCCCATTACCAAGGACAGATGTTGCGATTGTATTAAAACGAAATAGACTGCAGTTTTGTGGTGTTTCTTTGTAATTGTCCCTTTCAGGAAAGTAACACGCCAATCGGGTGTTCTGTGCAGCAGTAATACCGTGGCCAAACGCCAACGTGATGCGGTACCGTAATTTAATTTTACCTTTTGGCAGTGCTGCCCCCTATTGGCTATTTTGTGTAACTGGGGTCCTCGTGGGTGATGGGACGAGGCCTGTTGCACGCACTATGAGGCAGCAGGGTGAACAATTCCAGTTGAGTACGAAACTAGTGCAAAAACTGTGAAAGTCACTTTACTGCTGCAAATATATATAGTCACGAACCCGACTGTAACTTGATGTGGCCCGCCCCAACTGAACATCTGTGAAAGAGAGCTTCACGGCTCATCGGATTCCTGCAGTATTAAATATTCTCATGCAGATTTCCTTGTTCTGACAAAGTTCCACTGTCACCCTTGGCGTGATGCCCTTGTGGGCCCTATATTTTTTGACACTTGATGTAAATCTGACGGCTGAATTGACCGTGTTGTACAAGCACGGCCTAAACTACTGCACAACTTTTGTTTATAAACACTGCCTTCGAATAAAAAAAATATATTTTAATGCTGCTGGAAATTAATGTAAGGCATTATCATTATTTTTCGATCTCGAAAATCCATTGAAAATATCTCGTTTGAAGGGTGTCCTGGGTGACGTTTTAATCCTTGCCGACCCAATGACATCCCCAGGTTTCATCACACTCCCTCAATCCTGCTGCACCGCATATCGTCTCCAAACGACATTCGTTCAGGGGGGTGGGGGGTGGCCACGTTACTGACGTGCAAACATCCCAATGTGCTTGCCTGGTGGTTTCAAAATACGCTGCTTCTCTCCAAGGACGGACGTCGAGCCGAGCGACGAGGTCTCCCGGCTCAGTAAAGGCGCGCGCGTGTCCCACCCCTCCCCATCCCATGCCACCCCCCCCCCATGTGTCTATAGATGGACGAGCTACGCTCCAAGGAGCGAGCGGCGGGTGAGCTGGAGAGAGAGCTGGGCGCTCAGGTGGAGGCTGCTCGCCGTTTATTGCAGACTCAGCCGCGCGACGGGCGGGCGGCAGACGATGCGGCGCTGTCGCCGGGAACGCCGCCCCAATCGGCGGCGGCGGCGCTGGGCACGGCGACCAGAGAGGCTGAGGGGTCGGAGGGCTCCTCCAGACGCGCGGGGGTTCGTTTGGCTAGCCCCAGGAAGGAGGCGCAACCGTCGGCCGCCGACGGTGCAGGGGATGCCGGCGAGCAGGCGCGAGGCAGCCCCCCTGTAAGACGTCGATCTCGCTCGCACGATCTCTCGCGGCACCTCCTCTCTCGGGAGAGAACGGCGGCAGTGAAATCTTGGCGAGTGTCTCCACGTCCCGCGCGTCCCTGCGCCCCAACGGGGTCCCCCGGGTGGGCGAACGTCGCAGTTTCCATCGCGAAGCCATTCGTCACCATTCCAGCGGGTTCATGATCCCAGGGCGGTTGTTTTTGTTCTCTCCCCTTCTTCCTTCCCGATGTTAATTTGGAAATTCGCCAGGCAGCCAAATGCACGAGATGAAGGCAGCTGGGATGTTAAACCGCACGGGGGCTGCACTTGTGCACCGGAAGGAGGTGGCTTTCCGCTCCGGGGACGCGTGAATTACCTTTAGAGGAGCTCCCAGCTGTGGCTACTGAGGATCCAGGTCTCAAATCCAGGCAAAGCCACCTGGGATCAAACCAGGTGATTGTCTTGCTCGTTTGATTGATCTCAGCCCGGCCACTAATGATTTGTCCCAAGAAAAAAAAACCTCACATTTAGGATTTCACATTTTGTCCTAGGTTAGCTCCACTGATGTTATTTAATGTTGCACATATATAGATAGTAGTTGACATGGAGTGAAGCAGTAATTTATAAGGGATGCTTGTTGCCAGAACGAACAGTGATGTAATCTTCCAGAACCATCCTTGACACACTTTTTACTTTACTCAATTTGGACTGTACACAAAGCAATCATCACCCCCTCCTGGCAGACTATTGCCCCAGGTATCTCTGGCAAATTGAGACTATCCCCGTCTCTTTGAGTTCTCGCCTGGTTAGAACTAAATCAACTTGAATGCTCTGCTCAGCGTAGGAGTTCTGCCCATAATGTCTGTCTCAACTCTGCAAACCCAGTCGATGTAAAATCACGTTCCAAAAAGTAGGCATGTATGTGTGTACGTTGAACTTCTTTCGCACCGCACGTACTACTAATCTACTAATCGGAGATGCACAGCGCTTGGGAACAACAGACGAGTCGTCAGCAGGGAGCAGCCCATTAAGAGAACACTTTGTGTTTTTTTACAAATCCAATCAACAAATGTAAAACAATCTGTTAACTAACTTGAGCTGAATTAATGCTTATTTTAGGAGTTGGCCATAATTTCGCTTTCAACAAATGAAGCATGCACGCACTTGAGCTTCGCTGTTTTCTAACGAAACGCTTCCAAATGCAAGTGTAGCCATCGTGTGCTCAAATGTAAGACAAGGTAAAGGATGAAAAATGAGAATAGGTTTTTACCCTTTCTGGCAATAAAACAGGTGTTAAGATGTTCAAACACCAAATAAATACCTGACACAAGGCATCAAGTCTGCATTAACAACGCATAATTGTGGCAAAACATGCAGACAAACACGCTCTGATAATGTATGCATTGTGTTTGAAGCTGATTGGCCTACACCAGAGAGATCCTTCTTCATGGCCTCGTCTCACCACCAGTGTTAGACCAGAGAACGCCAAAAGGTGGACAGCACAAATTTTTGATTTGAAGTTTTCGTGACTGCAAGGATTCATACTCTTAGGTTTTTTCGGTAAAGTCACGTAGGTAAAAAAAAATAATAAAAAAAAATAATAGAAATAATAATCGAAATAAAATTATAAATATAATTATAAATAGATATATATATTTTTCTATTATTCTATTATTTAAATGTTTAATTTTTATTATTTATTTTTTACCTACGTGACTTTATCGAAAAAACCTAAGAGGACAGCACAAAGACAATTCAAGTATCAGACAGAGCACTTTTCGACGGGTCGAGCAGTTATATAACTCTGGGACCTTTTTGTCCGTATCCAAAATGATGAAAAAAAATACGTGTTACCCTTTCTGGCAAAGGTAAAGGCAGTAGCCCTGCAATTGTTTTGCTCACGCAACTACTCTCAGAAGGGCCTCTATTGGAGGGAGTTCAAGAGAGCCACGTGGAGGGTATTTGGTCTATCTGGACAACACCGTTATAATGGGGTCATCTATCACTTAAGTATTCATTTCAATTGTTAGATGTTTTTTCACAACACAGGGATGTGCATGGACATGTAATCATATTCGTATTGCACAGAAACTAGCTTTTGAGTCCTAATGGCATGGTTTGGGTTCATTGTTGGCATGACAACTCACAACGATTGTAGTAAAGGTTTTTTTTGGGGTTAGATTGCGTAAATATAAATGTGTCGTTAAGACACCACCACCCGACACAGCCAATTAGTAAGGTTTATAATTGTGTCGGGTGGTGGTGGGTTAACGACACATATTTACGCGATCTAACCCAAACCAACCCCTTTATTATGAATATTTGTTGCGAAGGCCTACGTGTTAAGCTCACAATGCTCAATTGCCAATTACTTGCATAAGCTCCACTCATTTGCTCGATGTTTGGCTGTCAGTGGCCGAGCATGGTCACCTTTACCGAATTACTGCACAAATGTTCACCCAGCTCTGGAAGATCTGTGATAACATGAGGCTACTAATGATGGTACAATTATGCTAAAAACGTTCATGCAATCTTGGCACATTTGGGGGAATTGATTGTGAAAAAAACACTAACAATGGCTGTTTAAGACTTTGCATAAACTATAGATATCTATTAAAATGTGTGCTTTGTCAGCATTAACTCGTGAGATTTTGGTTAGATTCAAATTTCGTAATAATTGGCAATTTATTTTCATTCAGAACTCTTCATTTGCCACATTTATTTTGTGCTGCAGTAGACAGAGTACAATGAAACATTGCGCCAATTAATGAGTTTCATAGTATGTGTGCATGTATGGTGAAGTTCTTTCACACCGTACGTAGCCAACCATGCTTATCGCAGGTGCGGGAAAGGACAACAAACTAAACACAAAAAGCAGCTCTAAAGAAACCAGTTTTCAATCCAGATTATTTAAAATTGCATAGCTCCAAGGGCTTCCTAATATCGGAAGCGACAGCATTCCAGACGGCCGCAGAAGCGCATCTGAAAGCGCTCGATATAGCGACCGTCTTTATCGTGATACTTTATCGGATTACTAAGCCTTCAATTAATAATTTATAGCACTTAAATGAGTGTGTGGTGGTGGGGAGCGGTAGTGTAGCGGTTAGCGAGCTGAGCAATTACAAGGTCGACTCAGCCTCAAATGCGTACCTGGTGTGTAAACATCACCACTGGGGAGACAAAGGCGGCCGGACGTCGTGTTAGCCCCCCAACGTGTGCCGTGCCGGATTTCATAGGTGTTCGCTCACAGCACTGGCCCCAAAAATCTGTTCAGGCTATACGGGGGGGGGGGGGGGTATTTGTCTTTGGTGGTCATCTCTGTTGGCAGCCCTGAGCCAGCGGTGAAAACTTCCACATTCCTCTGGTGGTGCCAGTCTAGTTACCTCGACAAGTTCCCCCACTGTTGGCTTCCCACAGTTCTTTGCACTGAAGCTTAAATAAAAGCGACAACATTTGGCATTCATTCACGACGACTATCCCCACCGTACTTGGCCTTCATTTTAACATGTTACAGATAGATATATCTATTAATAGTCGACATAAAATACGTCGTAACATTTTACAGCGTGAAAATAGGACACCGATATCAATGCTGTGTTTGTCATTCACAGTTGTTGTCAGATGGGGTGAGGATCCGTCGCAAGTTAAAGCTTCGCTTAGCAACACATGACCTTTTCAGGAGAGTTCAAATTGGGACCCACCATCGGGCATATTGCGTACAGAAAGACGCAAGGGTATCGCTGCACTTGCTTATGATGCATTCAGTGCAATGCCAATCCGGCTGGTAGTGGATAAAAGTAACGGGTGCACCACCACAGCTAGCATCTTTTCTATGCAGTATTCACATTAATCACTCGATATTACAACGTGAGCATGAGACAATCGAGCATCACGATTCGGAAATGCAGTGCCTATTGCAAGGAAATAGCATATCATCCTCGGCAGGGGAAACCTCATTGGATTTTCCTATACAAATAGTTTTCCTAAATGGAATTTTCATTGTACTAGCAGCGTTGTGTGCATTTGGCATAGTTTGGCATAGGCATGGAATGCCACCGATTCATATTACAAGATGATACACGATACATATCCTGGCAATGTTTTTTTTACAACCAAACATGTCCTGTAAAAGCGTGTGTGTGTGTGTTAGCTCACAACAACGAGCGGAGCGCCACGTGGCTAAAACACAGCAATTTGGCATAGTAGGGGGATCAGGTGGTACATCGGCCAGTCATTTCAGTCAGTCAACCCATGGCACCTGGCCCTTCGGCATTTCACGTGGCCTTAAAGTGCACCAAGCCTGGCACCAAGCCTGGCACAAGCGCCGTGGGGACGTCACTGCCACTTAGGGGCCAATGGCGGTTGTTGTCGAGTTAGTGTGAGGCTGTTTGTGGCCTGCATCTCTGAGTGTGAGCGATTGGGCGTTAGTGTGTATTTGCGTATGTGTGTGTCACGGTATGTGTTTGTATGGAGATTGTAACACACCACGCACGTTACAAATCCCAGTAACCCATTTGCAATTCCGCAGCATGTGCACAATTGGACAATGGTGTCTGAACCTGGCCTGTATTTAAATAAGAACCCGTCCCACTCATGACCAATAACAGTGGCAAATGTTTGAATCGGTCCAGGGCCTCCCCTAGGTGCGGTGTGTAAACGTCATCACTGGCAATACAAAGGCGGCCGGGCATGGTGTTGGCCATCCCCTTGTGTACCGTGTCCGCCTTCATAGGTGCTCGTGAATGGCACTTGCCCCAACAATATGGGGGAATCTTTGGCTTTGTTATCTTTACGTGTTACGTAAAAGTAAGTACTGGCCACAGATACGCATTGGATTTACAATACTCTACAATCAAGTTGGTTATCAGTTAAAATTCTAGTCAGGGTCTAACTCAGCCCATCGCTCAATGGTCAATGATACGAGTGCCTGTTTGTGCAAAGTCAACATTGGTTGTCATGTGATTAAAAATGATCCCTGCCATATGAATATGGAATTTTCAGCAATATTTTTTGGG